CCTATCAAGGCTATTAAAAAAAAAAAGCGCTCATTAATTCGTGCCTGAGCCGTAGTACAGTACGGATCTCTCTGTGACGTTGCTACGCTGTTCGTGAAATATACGCAGCTCACCAAGTTCGGCCACCAGCTCACAAAGTGTGCACTTTTGCGGTTATTAAATTCTCGACGATGACTCATGTTTGGGCTTCCGAAACAAATCTTGCCTCTTTATAATATTAGTATAAGTATAGAAGTATATAGACTACTGATACCATGCACCCCACGCTTTTTTACAATAAAATAATTTTTTCTTACACTAAGTATTTTTAATTTAAATTTATTAAAATTTATTTTCTATTTTTTAGTTGGATTTTCTATACAAGCGTATTTTATTAGTTTTTTTAAACTATTATTTATTTTACATTTTTTAGTTGAAATTCAATTTTTTGTTTTTTTTAAGCTATTGCATAGATTTTATCGCGGGCCTTGAGCGCGGCGACCGAATCATGAAATTCCGTAACTAAAATAACCTGACACCCCCACTACGCCTACTATGTAGATCGCGTTGAAAACATTCACACGTTGCGCTCGTGTAGTGTTTGTGAATAAGCGCGCGGCGTGACGTCGCACTGCATGAGTATCATGAAAAGTCTGCCCATCTCTCTCTCACGCGGTCTATTTTATGAGTGTGAAGGAGACAGTTAATGTTTTGCTTTTGTTAATGTTTATAAATATAGCGTGGTCTTCTTTTTATTATTGTTTTAATATTAAATTATTATTGTCTAATTGTGATTGCATAAGTTGATAAAAAATGCTTTGCATTTGCAATAGCTTTACCGCGGCAGTCCCCGAGTGCCACACGTCTTTTTTTTTTAATATTGAATTGTCATCGGTCCTTAATAAGTATACCAAATTTCGAGTTAATACGACGTTTTGAAGGGGGTCAAAATCATGTTTAAAGATTCAGTTACAAACATACATACGTCTGAAGCTAATAAATTCGTATTAAAAAGGTAGTCAATTTGTAAAACTCAAAGCGCAATATGCCTCGAATAATAGAAAAGTAAAAATATAAAAAGAGCAACGGCGGCTTCCTTCCTTATATTTTGAAATTAGCCAGTAAACTCAGTACCTACATTTACGCAAAAAAAAAAACTTATAGTAACAAAGATCCGTGTAAATATGTAGCTGCTCTAGTTTGTGGGTATTGTGGCATCTCTCTGTGGAGTAATACATTTTGAATCATTTTTTAGTCTGAAGAAGTTTTCTTCTTACGTGCTTCTTAAACCCAGCTAAAGTGCATGAAGAAATTCGATGCAAAATCGAATAACAAGAGAAACGGCGTCACCTGTGTGTTCGAAGTGTATTAGCGATATTTACTTACTAAATGGTATTAGAATCCTTAAAAGAATAATAAATATTCATGTTATAACTTTGATATTTTGTTGCCGTAGTAACTAAATATGACGCCTAGCCGGGCCTAATCTGACCGCGACGGGTCAACGCAACTTGTCGGATCCCCCGGATTCACTCTCGGTGCTTTTAGGCCTCTTAAGCACTGGTAGCCGTCCTCTCGTCGAATTCGATTACGACGAAGAGTTAGACGAGCGAACTAACCCATAGACACAGCTTCTTCTTCAGATCTTCTCAGTGGGTCCCGTTTTCGATCCGGTCGTAGATTCTAGTGTTAGCAATTTTTCTCAGGTTGAGCCCGTGAGCTCACCTACCCTTCCGAGCATAGCTGGAATAGCCTCTTAGGCTACCAGCGAATAGGTAGGGGAAAAAAACCTGGGAGGGACACCGCGGCAACGGCGGATCCAGGGAGGGGTGTCATGGGGGTCATGACACCCCCCCTGAGCTAGTTCCAGGATTTGAACTAACTTGGGCTAATTGAAGAACATCATGATTTATTCATTATCTATTGTTATCAAAATTAAATTATAAGTTCTTAACTTGCCCACGACTATGTGACCCCCTCCTGGCGCCAAAGCTGAATCCGCCCTTGCACCGCGGGATTGTACGGCGAAGGGCGTATATACATTTTCTGTCTCTTTCGTACTTGTGCGAAATAGAGGGAGAATTATTATTATTCGCACGACAATCGTTTTTTGTTCCTCAAATATACCAACAGTAATTTTTTTACGGAGACCCATTTTGCGAAGTCTAGTGTCAACTTTACTTATCTCCAAAGCTCATAGGAAATTTACAAAAACACAAACTCAATATAGTCGATCAATATAGATTTGAACTCGTAACATACGATCTGTAGGCGCATTTAGAGACCAATTGACTATTGATCTGTCTGATGTGGATAAAATAAAAATTGTGTATTTAAAGGATTACCGTAAAATTTATTGGTAAGTTATGTTTTACGAAACTTAAATAGGGTAGACTGAAGATCCTTAAACCGTCAGGCTATTTAATTTTATTGCCAAGACTTTCCTACTTCTTCAGCTGCTGGTTGCTATTTTTTGTTTGATCGATCGATAATCTATCTATCTATCTTCTATCTCTATATATAAAAATGAATTGCTGTTCATTAGTCTCGCTAAAACTCGAGAACGGCTGAACCGATTTGGCTAATTTTGGTCTTGAATTATTCGCGGAAGTCCAGGGAAGGTTTAAAAGGTGAAAAAATATAAAAAAGCTCTGAATTATATAAAAACAAACAATTTTGTTTTTCCTTTGATGTGTCCCCCTTCGGACGGATTCCTTTGGTTTGTTTTAAGTTTATTTTATACCAAAGTTTAGGTATTTTATTTATCGATTGAGGCACTACGAAGTCTGCCGAGTCACCTAGTAATTATTAAATTGTTCTTTAAAATGAGTTCTACTCGCAATCTTGAAATATTTAAAGAAAGAAAAAGAAAATATTTAAGGAAAAATATAATTATTAATTTAGATAGGTACTCTGAATGAATATATTTCTAAGAGACCTTAAAATATTAAAATATTCATTAACAAACAAAAGGAGGCACAGTTAAGGTGAAGGTGAAGTCGTCTTGGCCTAAAGTCTAAAGCAGGGGTCGGCAACGCGGCGCCCCCGTTCGATTTGTAATGCGCCCTCGCTGGACTAATGTAAATGTATGATAGCCAGAGCGATTTATTACTCTTGTCAAACGGCGATATCAGTAAGTAGTCGGTTAAGTTTAGGATTGTGCATAAATTAAAATTTTGCTAACCTTGAGCGTATCTAACAACACGCACGTATTTTTTGTTAGTGTGTGATCGTATTTCGAATAGACCACGCGTAGACCGTGCATTTAAAACTACTACTACACATTTAGATAATTGCTTAAGGACCGGGAACTCTAAATATATCGCTAATTATAATAAATTAGCTGAAAATATGGACACCCAAGTTTCACACTGAATTATATGATCATTATGTATGACACCAACAAAATAAAGTTATAAAAAATCGGTTTTTTTAATACCTGTTGATTTTACCTGTTGATTATCTGTAAAATAAAGCGATTCATCAGTGTTCGAATCTTGCAGGCAGGTACCAATTTTTCTAATGAAATACGTACTTAACAAAAGTCACGAGCGACTTCCACCGTGAAAAATAACGATAGTGTAATAAAAAAAAATCCGCAAAATTAATAATTGGGGCATAATTACTGGGGATAGGACCGTCTTGAGTCCGTACACCGCCACACGCGAGGTACCACTACTCCTGCCTATTTCCTACCTTGAAGCAGTAATGCTCCGGTTTGCAGATAGAAGAGCAGCCGTTACTGTTAAAACTGAGACTTAAACGTTATGCTCGGAGGTTAGAGGCGGAATAGTACGTGTAGGTGTTTAATACACATAACCACTTAACCAGGGCCGGAGTTAAACTTATATGCTGCTCCTACACAAACAGCACTCAATACTGATTTTACTAAACTATAGTTATATATAAGATTTATTTTATCAAAATTAAAATAAATTTTTACACATAAATAAATATTTATTTTTCCTACAATAATCAAATTATATTACATAAAAAAAATCTTTAATAAAATAGAATAGAAAAAGGTCAATATTATTTTAAATCTACCAAAGGAAATAAATTGATTACCTAAATCATTTTGATTATTAATTTTACCGAAAAGTGCCAAAATTATAATTCACAAATAATGGATGATTGAATTTCTTGAATTATCAATTAAAAAGAAAATTATTAATTAATAGAATTAATTATTTATATTGAGCAATCTTGATAAGACTAAAAAAAATATTTACTTTCAAAATTTTGCCGCCTAAAAATTTTTCCGCCCTGGGCACTTGTCCCGAATGCCCCTAGTCTAAATCCACCATTGCACTTAACACCAAGTGGGCCGTAAGCTCGTCCACATACCTAAGCAATAAAAAAAATAAAAATTGTTAGACAATCCAGTAGTTTAGTGACAGAAATCTACATAATTGCGGCATAATGGCACGTAAGGCACCGGTGACCTAAGTGGCAGTCAAAGGGTTAACAAAAATTAGATAGCTATTGCAAAATATCTGTTTCTTATACCTAGTATTCTATGTATACCCGAGTCAGGGTAGCATGGGAATTATTATATTAAGTTTGCGATGGCAGAAAACATTAAAATTACGACAAAAAACATTTGAAAACACAACTAAACGGATGACAGATTTCGGAAAATGATCAATCCGTCGTGGATTAGATACGCAAATCCCAGATGAATTGATAAAACGGTTATTTTGGTGTGCGATACGGTTTCAGGCTTTCAGTTGTGCTCTGAACGCCGGACGCGTATCACTATCTACGGGATTTTCATGAAAATCGCTCGACCTAACTGACGTCAAGACGTTTTGTGAACTTAGATGGTGGTGGTGTATTTTTGCTTCGATTATACGAAAGTTTTTCCTTCTCTTCTACAACATAACGTTGTTATTACAAAGTTGAAATTAATGTTTTTCTTCAAAAAAACTTATTTTGGACGCAGATTTGCACACAGAAAATATAATTCTGTTCAATGTTAGGAACTTGTTGAATTTGGCTTAGAAGGCAAAATATCGGAGATGAAAGGTGAGTTACGTTGATACTTCATTAAGTTCGATTTTCTTAAGGATATTCTGTTTTATTGTTTTACTTTAGCTTTCAGAATACAAACAGTGTAGTGGTTTATAATTAATATTTTTCCATTGACCTGTTATGAATGTAATTACTTGAATCTTACAGAATTACTTTTCTGGTTAGTCTTAGTTGTCTGGGAACTTATATTAGACATATGATGATTTAGAATAATTTATAACTTTTAGTTCAACTAAAAGTTAGAAGTAACCGAGGTCGGTTACTTAATGTTCCTTAAAGTTCACATCATAATTATTATTGTACTTGCGATTGAGACCATTGGACCGGTCCTCGCGGATTGTGTGAGCCGTGACCAGGGATGTCTTAGCTTCCGGCTAGTCTTCACTGGTCATGGCTGGTTCGGTCATTATTTTTGTTGCGTCACTGAGAGGAAGCCGACGATGGAATAAAACCATTGTGTTGACGAGAAAGACAAGACAGACAGACATGATCGCAGAGTGCTCCGTCTGGGAGAAGCAGCGTCTTGCCCTCTTTGCCCAAATATGATTGCAACACCCACCACCACACAACACCCTCCACGGTGTTTTCCGAGCGCTATGACATGTCCTTCTTCAAACGAGGCTTGCGGAGAGTACTTTATGGTTGGCAGCGGCTTGGCTCTGCCCCTGGCATTGCTGACGTCCATGAGCGACGGTAGCCACTTAGCATCAGGTGGGCCGTAGGCTCGTCTGCCTACAAAGTCAATAAAAAAAATCAAACTAGTTAAAGTTCATAATGTAAAATATATATTTTATAAATTTAAAACCTTTGTTTATTTATCAATCACAACACAAATGACCATTCTGTAATAAAATTGAGGTAAATAATACATTAAAATGACGATTGAAGTTATTGTTTTCCAATATTTTTCCGTACACAATTCCTGTGCTAATATTATAAATAAAGTTGTATTTAATTTCCTAATACAATAGTAAAATAAAATTTATGAATATGTTATTTTCCGTGTAGTTTATTCTGTAATCATTTTATCGAGAAATTAAGTTAAATAATACAGTAAACGTAACGAAGGTCGCTCTTCATGATTTCCTGTAAATTGATTTGTCACGACCACCTTAATACAAATCGTGTATGTCTTGCTTCTGTGTTAACACATTTCCATAAAAAGTCATGGTTAAGGATATTTTTGGAAAATATTTACACAAGCACTCGGTAACATTTCATCAATTATTTTGAATTCGTAATGCTGTTTTGTTGTTGTGTGTGTGTGTTTTTTTTAACATATAATTCTACCATTTAAACTGAAAAGCATAATCGGTTACTTCTCCTCAGAAAAAAAACCGCGTGAAATTTTTTTTTTGCTTGAATGTGTGGACGAGCTCACAGCCCACCTGGTGTTAAGTGGTTACTGGAGCCCATAGACATCTACAACATAAATGGGCCACCCACCTTGAAGTTCTAAGGTCTCAGGTATAGTTACAACGGCTGCCCCACCCTTCAAACCGAAACGCATTACTGGTTCACGGCAGAAATAAGCATATTAAAAGTCCGCGCGGGTAGGTACCACCACCCGGTACCTACCCGCGCGGACTTTTAATAGGTACTAGTATACTGTATACCACTAGTATACTGGTAATTTGTCAGTAGGAGGGCCTAATAACAAATTACCAGTGGAATTGTCGAACCTATGACTCTCTTGAGTTTGGTAGGTTCAAGATAGGATTCCTACTACGATAGTGTAAAAGTAGTAAATGAAACATTTCTGTCTCTGGTTATTGGGTTATTAAAATTAAATTTGTTCAATTGCACCTCAGATCAACTAATATGAATAAATTAAAAATTAAAATTGAATAAATTATGTTCGTTAGATTTTAGGTTAAAATTTTATCTATAAATAACTGAACATGGAAGTTGATTTAAAGGACAATGTACAAAAGCATCAAGTATTGTAGTCTTAATGTAAAGAGTAAAAACAGATATTTACTAGTTTAAAAAAGTCTAAGTGTATACTATGAATAAAATAATAGATAATGAAATTTACAGATATTGTACAAGTTGTGCTGATCTTTAGCTTAACGAGTGTGGTGATGCCAGGATTACAAGTGCGAAAAAGCAACCAAACCAAGGCTATGATACGAGAATCCTGTTTTCTTTCTGACTATTCATTAAAGGCTAAATGTGTACAAATTCATCAAAATCTACGATGCAAAGGGGGCTTTAATGACCAATGGATTAACGGGATCAAGTAAGTTGTCAGCCTGATTTTTATCTCGCTAGCTTTCGCATTTTTTTAAATTTATTTAGGGGCTTTTTATTTAATTCATTATAATATTCATTATAATATTTATAATTAACACTAACTATATAAAATTAAGGTTTTTTGCAATCCTTTAAGTGAAGAGTTTATTCAGATTATAAGATAATAAAAATATAGATATAAAAAGAAAGTGAAATATTGTTGAAGTTTAATCTAAAATAGTTTGCTAAATTAAATAAGTTGAGTATTACTAAACTTATTTAATTACTCGACAATTACTAAGCGATTTAACTATAAGCCATTATTATATAAATCAGAACAAAAACAAAACTGGCAAAATGAAATTTAATAGGTACTTTATTTCACTCTTTCGCGTCATATGAGCTTCACCAATCGGACACAAATAAAGATAATAATTAAAAAGAGCTATGCTAGGGTAACTTTAATATTCGGTCTATAGTTGTTTATGTAAGCTGTGCATAATTTTTACCATAATAACCACAGTACGTAAACAAATTAAGTTATGTAGATCCACATCGATAATATTATAATATTATGTTGTTCTGGAAATTCCGTAGCATAATACAAACATTAGCACAACAAAGTCCCAGTATATTTATAATAGTATCTCAACTCAACCTTGTCCGAAACTTAGACATCGGGTGCTCGCGAAATCTCAGGCCTCTATTTCAAAGGATTCAGAGTGCGCTGTCTATTGAAGCTCTTCTCGTGATCGGAGGTGTTTGTAACGTGGTCGCTCTGCAACTTAATTATCTCGGCTTCAAATTGGAGTCGTTAGATTTTACACGCTTAATTTGTTTTGAAGTCGTCGTGGCCTAAGTGATAAGACGTCTGGTGCATTCGTGTTGAGAGCGATGCACCGATGTTCGAATCCCAGGCGGGTACCAATTTTTCTAATGAATTACGTACTCAACAAATGTTCACGATTGACTTCCACGGTGAAGGAATAACATCGTGTAATAAAAATGAAACCCGTAAAATTATAATTTGCGTAATTACTGGTGGTAGGACCTCTTGTGAGTCCGCGCGGGTGGGTACCACCACCCTGCCTATTTCTGCCGTGAATCAGTAATGCGTTTCGGTTTGAAGGGTGGGGCAGCCGTTGTAACTATACTGAGATCTTAGAACTTATATCTCAAGGTGGGTGGCGCATTTACGTTGTAGATGTCTATGGCCTCCAGTAACCACTTAACACTAGGTGGGCTGTGAGATCGTCCATTCATCAAAGCAAAAAAAAAGAAAAAGATAAGCCGATGACGGAGATTGTAATATGGCTAGTTCTATGGTGTAACGTCATGAAACGCAACAAATGCTACGAGGCTGCGTTGTCCGAAACGCGCTGTGCTTATGAGAGATGCGAGCTCCGTGACTGTGACGAGCCGCGTCCTGGTTTGGTGTCACTCGAGTGCGGAACCTCTAATCTCAGCGTGCTGTCCTAGAATCTTAATCTTGCCATCTAGCGGACCCGACTGCTGGTATATGGACTATCGTGGCAATCACCCGGCTGTCACGGACTGGTTGAACAGTGACCAAGGACGTCTCTATTTGGGGTGTTACCTAATCACGTTGACAGGAGTGAGTTGACGATGCAGGCCTTATTCTCGGTGGTGGTTCAGGGTGACTGGAGAGATTGAGTTGGCGCGCTGCGTTAAGAGCACCCCAGTGGCGCAAAGTCCTACCTGGCATGCTGTTTCTGGTATCGCCGTATGCCGATCACGATTGCCGACCTAGTCATTCTCACCGATTCAGACGCCGCGACGGTTTGGTATGACCGTACACCAGGTTGCTGTGTTGACTGCTGTTACCCCTCCTACTGTCCGGGTTCCGGGACTCAGACATGTGTAGAGCAGGGGTGTCGTTTAGTGAGTAGCTACGTTACGTTCACAGACCATGTGCCCCCGCGGAAGTAGGTTTTCGTAGAAACTTCAGCGTCCGGCCCACAAACAAAGGAAGAGAATTCGCACTTTAAGCTTTTGAAATTATTAATCAGCATTTCCGCCGTATCGATCATAGTCTGCCTATAAAAGATCTAGGATGAATTACTAATATTATTATTTTTCGTTTATTTATAAGCTTAGCTGACGTTTTAGTTAATAGTCGTATTGGATCATAGCATCGATAAGCATTTTATTACGAATGAGATCGTTAGTGTTTATCATATCAATATTTTTATATTTGACAATTCGTTTGGTGCCTGCAAAGTAATCCAACTTTTTTAAATCATACTATTAATCTCACTAAAGCTTCAAAGGTTCAATATTTTTCACATCATTCACAAATCGTTGTTTATTGAGAATAAATAATGAATATTAAGATAATTATTATATAAATATAAAAGTCACAAATATTAATTAATTACTAAATAATGTATTTATATTTTTAGGTACGAAATAACTCACTTAACAGTAACGGAATGGCCCGGAGAGTGCTTTAATGTTGGACACCTTCATCTTCATTTCCCAGAGCTGAGGTCACTTGAAATTGTAAACTGTACACTCTTACGAACATTCAAGGGTTATTTTCGCAGTGATAGTAAAATAGAGGTACATTTTTTTAAATTATTTATTCTTTTCAATACTTTAACACTGGCTGTGGTCTACAATTTTTTATTTTACTATTTTATTTATAGTTGTATATGTATGGTACCCATTGATATAAGTTTATCTTTCGATTTCCACGAGTTTTTTTTTATTGCTCTAATGGGTGGACGTGCTCACAGCTCACCTGGTGTTAAGTGGTTACTGGAGCCCATAGACACCAACGTCTTAAATGCGCCACCCACCTTGAGATATAAGTTCTAAAGTCTCAGTATAGTTACAACGGCTGCCCGACCCTTCAAACCGAAACACATTACTGCTTCACGGCAGAAATAGGCGGGTGGGGGTTTTGGACTTTGGCGGGAGTTTGGAATCCGTGTGTTTGTCTGATTGTAAACGGATAGCTGAGACAGAGAACCGAATGTGGATAAAAGGTACATGAACAGGTACCCTGTATCGGCGTATCGAGTGATGACAAAATTCTTATCTTGAAGATAGGCATAATTTTATGTTAGTTATAACTTATCTAGCACGTGCTCACGTATGACTTCTGGTATAGTTGCATGATCTTGTCTAACAATGGATCTAGCACCTCGACAAAGTTCAACGAGTACGGTGAAATGTGCTTTTGTTGTGTTCGACTTCAAACCTTCGATAGCATCGATCTGTATCTATAAGGATGTAGGGTGTCAACGACGGTTGACTTTTGGGTGAGCCACGTCAGGGGTGGCATTAGTAGTGGATACATTAAGGGAGTTCTCATGCCGCATCGTTGTTGCGAAATACCACGATATAGACTTAATATACTTACGGATAATTATTACGAGATTTTGTTGACAGTCACGTCAATTCATGTTTCTCACGTATACTGTACACGTAACTGTGCTGCGATGGCTAATCTAGGGAAGTGGGACTGTATGATTGAGAAGGAGTTTATGAAAACTAGACTCGCATATGTCATGATCGGGTTTATTCATTTTCTAGAAAGTTGTTATATCAGAAGTTAATACTAGGGAACACTTTACTTCCCTTACAAATCATGGGATAGTGCTTGCCAGAGATCGCAGACTGACATTGTGTGAGGCTGGAGTGTCAGGGTATTTCTAGTACTATCGTGCCAGGATTTGTCTTTGATCCCCAAAAAACATAATAATTATTAAAAAATACATTGACAATATAATGTGATATCATTAACAATTCAACCTGATCCGAACAATTTTTTACTAACTAGCTGACCCGACAGACTTCGTAGTACCTCAATCGATAAATAAAAACCTAAACTTTTGTATAAAATAAACTTAAAACAAACAAAAGGAATCCGTCCGACGGGGGACACATCAAAGGAAAAACAAAATTGTTATTTTTATTTAGGTAATTCCGAGCATTTTCATATTTATCTACCTTTTAAACCTTCTTGGACTTCCACAAATAATTCACGACCAAAATTAGCCAACTCGGTCCAGCCGTTCTCGAGTTTTAGCGAGACTAACGAACAGCAATTCATTTTTATATAAATAGATAAATACAATAATTTATACACCGCTTTTACATCGTTCTAAAATAAGTCGTGACCTTTTTGCGAGACCTGACTACGGTTCTTGCCTTACGCAATTCTAAAATATTGTTGTAAATAACATGGGTTGCGTACCTAGTAGTTTTGTAGTATTATTTTAGCTTGTATTGTTTTTAATGCAGGGCAAATAATGATTCTTCCTTAATAGTATACGAAATATCGATAAAGCAGGATATTGATAGTCCGCACGGTCAGGTACTGCCATATTACATGATGTAGGTAGTCATGGGCTCCAGTTTGAATAGTGAGATTTTCATTATACTAAGACCGTTTTAATGTGAGAAATTCAATAGTTATTAGTTATTAACTGCATTGATAGTTAGCCGTAACGGCTGTTAGCAGTAACTGGAGGCCACATAAATCACGACGTAAATGTGTTCTTAAGACATAGATTGAGGTATTTCTGGATAAGAATAAGAAGAATTCGAACTAGAACGCATATTCGCTAAGTAGCAGAAATAGGCAGATCGGTGTTACCGTCGCCTTCGAAGAGTTAGACAGCCATCACAATGTACAGCTGAGTGTTTGACTTCATCTGAGCATTGGTGTTATTGACTCACTCGTTATTTATTCTCATTGATTATTATTATTAAGAATTTCTCTTAATATTTACATTTTGACATATCTAATTGAATAAGCAACGCAGCGCAACTGATTATTTAGTTTACAGGTACTGTGAGGAGAAGGAAGCCCCTCCTCTTACTGTGCGACATTTTTTACGGATAGAGGTTCAATGATGATGTTCTAATTAATACAGTAGATTTTTAGTCATCTTCAATCTAAATGGTTGTTTTTTTCGCACAAATTACCGGAAATATAGGTTTTAATATAGTTTACACTGAAAATAAGTTTTGTTAAGAATAGAAGTAATCGTTTTTTAAATATTTTCGTAATTTACTAGCATACTGTTAGAAGTTACATAGCAAATTATGTTACATGCATACGAAAATAGCTATGCCTCTTTATGACATTTTCATTCTCAAGCCGATTTTCACGAACGAACCTTAGGAAAGAATATAAGGTGCCTTTGGTTCTATTAATGGAATACGATATAAGGCCTAGTACACTCGCAAAGATAATTCACAATATTACTTATAGTTCTGTGTTTTAGTTACTGTGTCTCACAACCGAGTAGTTTCTCGTGAATTATTTTGTGAGTCTTCTTTGTAATCTAGTCGGTATTTCCTAAAATGTATAAAATTGCTTCGAATAAGATTGTAGTTTTTGTAGTTTCTTGAGATAATTCGATCACTGTCAGACGTCTCGGTACTTCGGTACTAGGTATTTCGAAGAAGCTGCTGCCTACGTGTATAAGTTATTATTAACGTTTATATTTATCGTCCAAATATATTTCATAATAATATAAATGCCTTTCTATAATAGGGAATTCCTTTTGGAAATTCAATTAAACCGTAATTAAATTAATGGTAATGAAAACTAAACTATTCTATTAATGTATTAGAAACAGTGTCTGGCTACTGCTTCAATGCAAAGTTTATACGGTCCTATATTTATGCCGCGTACTACAGGAAATAGTTGTTGAAAAGCCCTGTTTAGTGAAAAAAGTTCTACATGATTTTGACGATTATTTTGGGTCCAAAATTAACGTGTTTTTTTTAAAATATATGGCTGGCCAAACGAAGTATGCGAAGATAAAAGACTTATACGATTTTAATGCCACTGGTACCTAGGTGTGTACATTTTGAATCTAAGATTGTTAGTATGCAGGCGCATATAATCAAATGCCCAAATCACGTCATTACGGATCCTCCAGATCCATTAACGGTACTTTTAGGTAGTACCGGTCACCGTCCTCGCCGATTCCGTCGCCGACGAAGGGCTCGACGAGGGAATTAACCAATAGATACAGCCCACTGAGTTTCTCACTGGATCTTCTCAGTGGGTCGCGTTTCCGATTCGGTGGTAGATTCTGATAACACTGCTCTTGCTAGGGCCAGTGTTAGCAACACTCCGGTTTGAGCCCCGTGAGCTCACCTACATATTAGGGCGAAGCTGAAATAGCCTCTCAACGCTATCAGCATAGGTAGGAAAAAAAAATCAAATGAAAATATATGATATCTATGAACTCCGGTAACCACTAAGTGAGACGTGAACTCGTTCGCATATGAAAGTCGCATAATTTTTTTTTAAGTCTTATCGATTCTTAACATACTTATTCTTCTTCTTATTCTCAGAAAATAACGATGCACGGTTTGTCATCTCTTTGGGAGATACCTCCGGAAACGGTGAACCACATGGTAAATTTGCGAGAGATGGACCTTAGGAGTAACATGTTAAGACACATGAAAGCACAACTATTGATTGGATCACCGGTTCTAGAGCGAGTTCGGTTAAGTGGTAAGTTTCGCCAATTTCATTTATATTTTGTGATCTGGTCATTTGTGTCATAGCCGATGCCATTAAAGATTAAGATGAATGCTTTTAATTTGAAAGAGGCTAAAGAAAGAGGTTTTTTTTATTGCTTAGATGTGTGGACGATCTCACAGTCCACCTGGTTCTACGTGGTTACTGGAGCCCATAGACATCCACAACGTAAATGCGCCACCCACCTTGAGATATAAGTTCTAAGGTCTCAAGTAAGTTACAACGGCTGCCCCACCCTTCATACCGAAACGCATTACTGCGTCACGGCAGAAATAGGCAGGGTGGTTGTACCCATCCGGGCGGACTCACAAGAAGTCCTACCACCAGTAATTACGCAAATTATAATTTTTGCGGGTTTGATTTTTATTACACGAAGTTATTCCTTCACCGTGGAAGTCAATCGTGAACATTTGTTAAATACGTATTTCATTAGAGAAATTGGTACTCGCCTGCGGGATTCGAACACCGGTGCATCGCTAGATACGTATGCATCGGACGTCTTATCCTTTAGGCCACGACGACTACAGTTACTTCTACCTCTGTTACTTCCTTTTTATCTACTTTACCTATAGTTCTTTTAAATATTACTAATATAGTATATTACTTAACAGTAGGATATTTCATTAAAATGTTCTAAAAGAAAACTTGCCCTTTGGTTTTAATTTGGCAAAATTCAAATACCTAGTGATCAAAACTCAATTGCGAACAAGAACAAGTTAACAGAAGTTGTATTTATTTATTCAGAAGTGCTAAACGTTCTAAAACAGGGTCATAGCAGATCTCAATTTTGTTCCCCATCATTTGGACCTTTGAGATATTTGCCCAACTTTTCGTTATATCAAAGCTATTTCCAATTGTTCATTTCAGATCAAAAATAAATTAATAAGTAAATTTGTAAGTGATCATTTCGCACATTTTTATTTTTCAATTTACAACTAACTAAATGTCAATTTAAAAGGTCATTGAAACAAGTCAGATTATGCTCTAAAAATAAAAAGAATTTACAGATACTCTAAAAAGTAAAACATCGGGTACGGCCGAGCCAATT